GTTTTCCGTTTGATTCAACAGTGTAACATTTTGCTCTCATTTTTGCTGTGTTAACCGTTAAGTCAACCAAAATGAGATCAACTGGAGTGTTCAAAATAAGTTACATCATAACAGCAAATTTTGATTTCAATTTGATCTTCGGCTATGCTCGGGTTATGAGGGGTCGTGGAGTTCTCTGCGCCTCTCTTAAGTAACTGTCGGACTAACATACCTTCCTTTTCCCCCACTAGATCCAAGGACGTGGCCAGGACAGCTCTGGTCTGTTGGAGGGAGACTCATCCTTTATCTAAGAGGTAGTAATTAATCACAAATTACTATCTAACAACTACGGATGAACGTCGGTCTCCTTCTTAACAACAGTTTGGAGCTCGTACCACCTACGACCTGTGCAACCTGGTTTATGCTATGCTTTGCATGATTTTTCATAAGACAAATCTTTGAAATTCCTACCGATTTCTTGTGGCTATAATTGATAAGTGGTTCTTATGGAATTCTTACGCTCTTTTGTCTTAGTCTACCATCCAGTAAAATGGGTAACAGTGGACCAGCTCTAGGCCAAATAGGATAAAAAAAAATTATTTAAGACTCGACCTTCTCCGATTTGCATGAAACTTCACATAATTATGTGTTATGGGGAATCATTCCCATTTTCGCAAAAATTCGGCCATTTTCGACCTTGATATTTTATCAAAATCGCGTCTTTGATAGTTTTCAATAAATTGTAGCTCTAAAACATCATTTCTGATCGAAGTGACGTCTGACACAAATACAAATTTGTTTAGAAAGGTAACGTCATTCTGGGAAAAACATAGGGGAAATGGCTCTAATGTTGGCCTATGGATCTAATATTGGGCCCATCGCTAAAAATCTGCTATTTATCAATTGTATCTAGATGAACGCGTCTAATGGATATGTTTGGTTGCTATTAAAAATTTAGTCGATTGCTGAGTTTATGTACGGGCCCAAATAAGGGACGCTTAGGCCGACATTACATACATTTCCCCTATATGTTATTTTGTTTTACTAATTTTGAGTAAAAATGCAAAGAAGTGTTAAAAACTGAAATATCTCAAAAAGCATATCTTTTTTTTTCCGTCGATCTTGTTTTCCGTGCTGAGAACCAATGTTACCGACGCCAGGGAGGCAGTTCACACACCTGGACCCTACCTATCGACCCATAAACTCATGAACCGGGGACCAACGGCTTTACTTCCCTTCCGAAGGAAGGCGTGATCAGAGATGTTATGCCTCAGAAAATCGCGGCGGTGCCGACTGGGATTGAACCCAGGCCTGCTGGGGTGAGAGGCAATCACGCTAACCACTACACCACCGGCGCCCGCTAAGTATATCTTCAATATTTGTAATTAATTGTTTAATGAAATTCGTAGAATATGAAGTTGTGGATGCGAACTCAAATATCACTGGCCCTTTGAAGTTTGTTTGGGAATTACTATGGAAAAAGTGAACTTTGTGTTCTCAACGTTCTAGCACTTCGCCATAATGATTCAAGGAAAAGTTTGCTATCAGCTCTTTATTTATTTAATGATTTCAAAGCCGATAACCTTCTGAGATGAAAAATCGACTGCTTCATGGCAACACTACATTCTGCACTTACGACATAGTAGCCTGGATTATATGCCTTATTCTTTGCGCCAAACACCACACAGTGGTCCAGGAATGCAATCTAGCGGAACAAAATTAATACTCCAAAATAATCTGAATGTGTATAGAGTCCATTGTGTCCAACATTCGAAAAGCTAGCATTTTTGATCAACTTAAAAAAAAAACCTTAGTCCATCGATAGTAAACATAAGTTTGAAAAAAATAATAAATTACTTTTTATAGTCTATAGCAAAAATTTGTGATTTTTTTAAAAGAAAAGTCAATCAAGTTATCAACAACTTTGTCTCTGACATCATTTTGATTAGAGAGCCGTCTTTGTGCTACAAAGAAACAAAATCCATTGGCAAAAATACTATATTGATTGTTTAAATTAAATACTCCCACCAATAGATTTTTGCAGAAACGAAAGTCTTTGTTTCAGTGTATGATTTATTGGCAAAATACAAAATACGCCATTTTTAAAAATTAGGCGAGTGTCAAACTGGCTGAATTTCAGCTTATTGATGATTTCAGAGTCATTTTTTTTTTCGCACTAATTCGATCGAGTTCTATCTCGCTAGCGATTGTATACGTACCGATAATGACGACGACTGCCACCCAAAATGAATATGATAACATTAAGAAACTTCAGCAACGAAGACATACACATGGAATGACCACCGGCACTACCAGACGGCTAAAATATAGCCCATTCACAATTGACGCTTGCCGTTATGTCTTACAAATATTTAAGTGATCTGCTGTTTGAAAACAAACCCAAAATCTATTCGGTCAAGTCCCAAGTCTGCATCAAAAGGAATCATGTTTCAACACGATCAAAATCTTATCTCATCACAAGTACCCAGCCGTACCAACTGAGCAATAGATCACGCGTGGTCGAGGATATTCCGACGGGTATAAATGTATACGAATATTTTTCAACTGGAATGGACTCGTAAAATCAATCCATGGTCGATGTCCGGGAGCAAATTCCAGCTGCTTCCACGCATATTGTCCTCTTGCTTTTATTTGGTATGATTAATATTTCATCCATATAACTTTACACTAGTCATTTGCTCGAATTAGCCAACAGTCAAGCACTACACGATCGAACGTGTGTATTGTATCTATTATCTTAAGAACACATCACCCTCGCGTGAATGAAGGCCTTACTCATCACACTGACTAACCAATGTATCACAAGCGATCGAAGTCATCGATTAGTTGTTTCAGTAAATAGAGCTATTATCAGGTCGTTTTTGATTTTAACAGATGACTTTTGAGCCACATATTTAAATTATGGAACCTTTTTTTTTTTTCTTTGAGCATCTTAAAAAAAAAGGTTGCTTAAAATGGGATTAAAAATCACTTTAAGTTAAATTAACCTGACCACGCAAGACTAACATTCATTTGATCATCGCAAGTCAGTTCCATTGTAGTTTTAGTCAAACGTGTGATGTGCACTTTCATAATAACATAAATGTTTTAACCAATTTTCTCGAAAAAAAAAACTTGTGATATTAAAAATTATGTTGCCCTGTTGCGTTAGAATTAATTCGACAGTGAGCATGCATAAGGGTGTAAACGCGATGATCGATTCTCTTCGTCGGTTTTCTCTTCTGTTTATAACTCGCTTGGATTAATATTTCTCGGTGCGTTTGTTGTTACCTTTGATATCCTACAGCACTGTATTGGGAAAAAAATCAGAACATTGCTTCCATTTGCTGTAGCAATTTAAAGAGAAAATCGATCATCGAGTTTACGCCCTTATGCATGCTCACTGTCGAATTTTTTGATATAAATTTAAAATGCATATTTATTGACTTTCGACTGTGTCATTACAGTGCTGCCAAATTTCGACCATACAAGGTTATATTGACAAAACAGCTTTCGTCACTCACTCAAACTTAAAATGATCTTCTTGGGATACCATGTCAATCGTCAGTGACGAACATGTTCAGTTTTTTATATTAGCTTATGACCAATTCCACGCCAAATCGGTCAGTCACAAAACTTGACTATCTTCGATCTGGATGATACTTGGCACATATTGGCACAACCCAAGCAGCACACTTCCATCGAAATAAGTTGCTGCAACTTGATTGTGACTGGAATAAGTTGCACGCAAGTAACCACAATTGTTCAGAGACAAGTGTGCCGCTAGGGAAGGGTAATTTTTGAAAAGGGCCTACGTGTTTTTGCACACATACTTTAAAAAAAAATGTAGTACATAAATGTGTAACGACATAAAATGAACTAAGCAAAATAAACTCATGGATACGGGAAAGTCAACAAGCATCCATGTCATTAACTGAGGATAACAATATTGTAACACAGAATGCACGAAACTACAGTTTTAACACCAGGTCTTTGACATAAAATTGAATGAGTTTTTAGAAAAGGTTTATGTGAAAGACAATTATCGAAAATAATGTTCTCAATATTGCGTGCAATATTTTAATACCAAAAGCAAATCTCATCACTGGTCATGAGACAGTAAAAGGTTGAATTTCACGGCAATTCATCGTAATTGATGTTTGAGAATCAATATTAGTCCATCCTGAACAAGCGACATGGAGTAAATCTATTACAACCAAAATTAACAAACATACTCTTTTTACGTATAATGGTTTCCCACAAAACCAGAAAACAATAACTAGGGGAAATGTATGTATTGTTGGCCTAAGTGTCCCTAATTTGAACCCATACATAAACTCAGCAATCGACTAAATTTTCAATAGCAACCAAAAATATCCATAAGTACCGTCCCAATGACGCGTTCATAAAGATACAATAGATAAATAGCAGATTTTTAGCGATGGGCCCAATCTTAGATCCATAGACCAACATTAGAGCCATTTCCCTTATTATTGTATTTTCAAGGTTAAGTATATTTGTGTAAATCAATTAAAGCCGTTTGAGCTACCATAAATGAGATTAATCCCTCTGAACAGCCTTCCGACGGCCACATTATCCACTAACTTCTCGAGCTCCTCAGAATTCAGCAATGAACCATAAAAATCGAATGATCACACCTAGGTCAAATTCAAATTGAGACATTCACCACATTTTACGACCCTTCAAAGCCCGAACGCAAAATTCGCAACTGCCGTCCGTCGGCAATCGCTCTCATAAACACGAAATAAAAGCAATTATTCATCGGCATGAAAATACATCTTCCACCACCGCACGCACACACACACTCGGGGTCCACGCCCATAAATCTTACCTCGTTGATAAGAACGAGTCCCGAGCCAAACGGGCCCTGCTTGCCAAAAAGCCAAAACATCTATTTAATCACAATTAATTGAATCAACCGCACACTTTAACCAGTAATTTTTCAACCCAAATCCGGACAACCCAAAAGCAAATCTAACGAATTTTATGATCTCACGCACCTCTCATACTGCGAGCAGCCCCCCAGCGAGAGCTCGTGTCGTCGTCAATCAAAAAAGTCAAACCCGGCTCGTAAACTTCCTTTCTTCGATCCAAATTTTCGTTTCGAATTCAGAGGCGAGTTCTCTTACTGGTCGTTATCGCTGGCACCGACCACCGAAGCCGTCGTACGTCATTATTCGCGACATTAACTTTATAATCTATAGTGATTTGTTTTGCCCCTCGGGAAAGGCCTTACTCTTCGTACCTGGCATCATTAACTCGATATCAACCATATCACGAACGTTTGGCGGGCAGGGGACTTCAGGATCAGTTCTCCGGCACAATCGGCATACACTCTGCTAATTAGAATTCGTACAACTTATTTTGGGCGCCCCTTCGCTTGGATCACACCAACAACATTTATATCCTAATTAGAATTATTTATCATTTCTCTATTCTCGCTCGGCCGCCGCCGGTGGTGGAGCCACACTTTTCACTGATTTCTACACGCACGAAACTGATCACGAAACACACGCACTGAGTCACGTGGCCAACCGAAATGCCAATAAAACACAGGGAAAATTAATGAAAAACCATAAAACCACGGACCGAACCGAATAAATCCTGACCCGACCTCGATTACGGATTGGGCCACTATCGGGTCGCTCGAATCTCCCAACCACACTACACTCTTGATGGTTCTTCTAGTCGAAATCGATTTCCTTCGAGGAAAACTTCAGTGGGCACAAATTTGCCGATGGTCAATTTGGCGATTTGCAACTTTTCCGCCGTCTTCGCGTGTTGACGAGAAAATTAGCCTTCAAATTGCTTCCTCCCTCACTCATTCACTGTATAGGAAGGCAGGTTGCTCCTTCGGTGTACTTTAAACTTGGCAAAAACTGTTCATTCACCCGACCAGTCACGGCACACACACGTTACATGCCACCACACACGGCGTCTAATGGTTTCATTTATGCAAATCGATCACACGGTTCAGGACTTCACAGTCCACTGGCGACGCGCGCGCGTCCACACTCCGAAGTCCGTGTCCTTAAATGTTCCGCAGGATTCACCGCACCGCGCGCCGTGATTCCGCGATCGTCCTATTCTCTCGCCCGTTTGGCACAGTCAGTCCCTTTTCCGTGTCGTGTGTGCGCGATGTTGTTGTCTGTCTGTTGGATGCTAAGAATAGACTAACAAATTCTTCTCATGCAATTATCACACACTCCAGAAGACCATCATCATCAACAGCACCAGCAACAACAATCACGTCCACAAACACATATCGCACATGCTGAGCCTTTTCTCTATTCGCCTCTCTCTCTCTCTCGCGCTCTCAGAATCGAGACACTCATACCATCAACCGACCCGTAAAAACCATTCTATTTAGTGAAAAACTCTGAGAGGGAGAGCCGAAAACGGTACAATCGTGGCAAAGCATTCGAACCGTTGGCTGCCCGGTTGGGAGGTGGGTGGGTGAGGAGGCGCACACGTTCCAAGCAAGAGATAAGAAGGATCAAAAGTAAACGGAACACGGAGGCTACACAAACACATTTGTGCAATCCCATCGTCGTCTGTCGGTCTGCTGTGAGCTCACCCCGTCCGGACGATGTGCTGGAAATAATGGAACATAAACGATCGGTGCTAAATCAGTGCCACACTGCTTATGAGCTAGTAGGGACGAGGGGAACAGAGGGTTGGTCGACAGTAGTCCTATGGTTAGTAGCAACGGAGACTGTTATCCTCACGGTCGATGTGCCTTGATGAAGTGAGGAGTTGAAATGGAAAGCAATTTTGTGAGGAAAAGTCGGGCTGGGAATCAGTGATGTCGCAGCGCAACATGACTTTTGAAATATACGATTGTTAGATAATCAGAGGTCACTGATTTTGACCAACTTGGAAGCATTACCAGAGTTTCTACATTTAAAATTTGATGCCTAGGGTAGAGCACTACTTCGTCGTAATCGCCCATTTCCGTTCTATCGATCAGGAAAGATCAATAATATCAATGATTTCACCATGCACAAATCATTAATAGGTTTGTTCTGATGCGTTAGTTCATTAGCTACAACATAAATCCTGTTAGAGCGCATTGTATGAATATTTACGCTCATTATTCTCAAAACAAAAGAAGTCCCTTTTTCTACGTTTATCTGTAGGACGAAGAAAATCTAACGGCGTTTCAATGCGTTAGGACGGAATTGAAACTCGTTGAACGAATTTAGAATCAAGAAGTAGTGTTAGATTTTAATCTACATCTACATCTACATCTCAACAATTTGTAGCTCTTTATCAAATCCAATGGTACGTATGGAAAGGTGAATAAATTTAGAAGTAATTTTTGACATAAATATTCCATTTTTGTTTCAACTCGTTCAGAAAAGTGAGGTAAAGCGCGGGTTGGGCTTAGTGGGATGGAAATTAGATCAAAAACCCTATTTGTCTTGCAAACTATTATAAATGGCTGCGTTTTTCAGTAAACATTAAATTAAATTAAATCACTTTTCAATAGGTTACAGGCAGTAAGCGACGATCCCTGAACTATGTCGCAGGGCCGGCATGTTACTGGGTATTCGGAGGGGCTACGCGGACAAAGTATGAAACACACAGAAATATTCACATGTTCTAACATTTATTTCCCTATTCTGTGGCGTGTGGGTGTGGGTTTTCACATATATGTGGCGTGTATGCGAGGGTTTAAAATTTAGTACTCACTGCTGCAGCGGGATCTCCTACGGCGTCGCGACGCTGGTGTTGGCGTTGGCCCACACGGCTGCTCCTGCACTACCGTGTGGCCGGAAACTTGCGGCGCGGGCTGCAGACAGTGTTGTTGCAGCTTTGGGAGAATGGCGGATCTGGTGGCGTTCATTAGCCACATACGGCTCAGCAGGCGTTGCTGGCTCGTTTGGCTGGCAGGCGTCTTCCGCCGTTGACGGCATCGGCTGACCGTGGCATGGCCACCTTGGTCGAGCCGAGACGGGACCCTCCTTGATAATTAAGGCCACCGGCCTGAGGGAATCGTCCCTGACGGATGATCGAGGATCATTTACTATTAAGCTCGGAAGCCATCTTGACTTCCGAGCCGAGCCGTGTAAGACCGTTTTATTTACGGTACGAGGTGTACAAAATGTACAAAAGCACAAGAGGTCCTGAGAATTATCAAATTTCCGTCAGGATAATAAAAATCAATTACCTGAACGGAGGTAGGCTTTCCAGCCCAAACCCCACAAGGGGGGGGGGGGTTGTATTATATATGCACTACACTTCACGATGCCGGTCTACACGGACGCCTGATTACTTCTGCCAATTAGAAGGTCTTTTCTTTTAGAAGAAGGCCACTCACATGCCTTTTGCCGATCATTCTCCATTTTTAGCTTAAGAATACGATTCTCCTCCCTTTAGTATTGTTCGAGTGTTTTTGCAGCGGTACTAACCCTCTCGCTGCTGTGTGTTGCCTTCTGCCTTTGATATTTAAAATACGTGAATTTTCCAAACAACAACAACTCATACAAACGAAAATCCACGGATTGTAACCAATTGGTTACAACCCATCGGCCCAAACCAGTCAGATAATTAAAAAAAATTCTCCATCACTGAAATCAAAATCTCAATCTGGAGACGAAGGATTAATCAGTCGCATCAACATAAATTTTAATAAACTGATGCCTTTGGGTTCCTTTGAACAAGCTACAATGAGGGGTAATGATTTGAATTTGCTTCCAATAATAGAAAACTAGTCTTCCTGACATCCTGTTATTTGCAGTAGCTTAAATGGTATCCCACATCAAATAACATCACAGAAAAAACGCTTTAGAAAATTACCTAGTAGACTGATCCTTTTCAAACTGTCAGACAATAAAATATAACCCATTAGTAAGCTTTTGGCATATTTATTTCATTCAATTTCAATACCATAACCGTATTCTCGCTCCTTACGCTTAACTCCACTCATTAGGTTCTGTACAACATCTGGCTGCAGCTTCTTCTGTACGGAAACCCACTTTTTCTTCATGTCTTCCTCAGATTTGACCTTTTATATCCTTGGGTACGAAAGTGACCCCGTTGACTTCGTACCACTCCAGGACAACATTTCAATAGTGGCACGAAGCTAGATCCCGCCAGAAGATCGTAGGGCCCTCGTGTTGCTTCAACAGAGGAAACAGACGCTTCTGTAGACACTCCTTGAGGTTGATCTCTCCGTTTACAGTCCCGGTAGTCACGAACGGCGCATTCCGTTTGCCACATGAGCAGATCGCTTGCCAAATCATGTATTTCTTGGCAAACTTTGAATGTTTCTGCTTCCTTATTTCCTCCGGAACATCAAACTTGTGCTGTGCGGTGAAGAACAGTAGCCCCGAAAGCTGCCGGAAGTCCGCCTTGACGTAAGTGTCATCATCCCTGATGAGACAATGAGGCTTCGTCAGCATCTGGGTGTACAGTTTCCGGGTCCGTGACTTTTCCACCGAATGTGGCCGTTCGTCACGATTTGGAGCCTTCTGACATGGACAAATTCAACTTTTTGACCACATCCCTGACCGAAGCATTGGGATAAAACGCTTTCACGACACGCTTGCGATCTTGATCACTAATGGAACATCCATTCTGACCGCATTTATCCTTCCGTTAGATGCTCCGTTCGGATTTTCCAGGTGCTTGCGCAAAATCAATTCGCGACGTTGCTTTTCGGGTGACGCCATTTTTTCCAACATTCGAGAAACTGACAGCGATAAAAATACAGTGTAAACAATACACTCTTAACTACGTCTACCCAAATTTTCAAGAGAAAACACTAAATGGGTTATTTTCTACAGCGTTTTTTCCGTGATGCAATTTGTTGTGGGACACCCTTTATTTAGAATGTTTCAAACTAAATCAAATGTAAAAAAAAAATTAAGAATTGTTTCATGTGTGCTGTGATATGAGGGGCTTGGTGCTAAGGGCCTTATACAAAGGTGCCACTCAAGGAAGAAGTGTTAGTTTGTTTACTAAAATGAACTATAACGATTGTATATGGCAAGTTTTGCTATAGTCCATCGCCCATCCAAAGATTGATCACTTGCGTAGGAAATCAATTTGGTAAGGCATTTGTGACCAACATACACCATGCGGTTAAATGAAATTGGTCCAAATCCACCCAACTTCTTTCTTCTTCTTCGCACTTCAAGCTTATTGCATATCGCATATTAGCTTATTGCGTGCTCTCAACTTAGTGTTCTAGAAGCACTTCCACAGTTGTTAATTGAGAGCTTTCGATGCCTGTACCATTTTTGCATTGATATGATTGTGTGGCAAGTCCAATCATATTTCTATGCCCAGGGAAGTCGAGAAATTTTCCAACCCGAAAAATTCCTAGACCGAACCGGGAATCGAACCCAGCCACCTCCAGCATGGTCTTGCTTTGTAGCTGCGCCTTTACCGACTGAGCTAAGGGAGGCCCCCAAATCCGCCCAAATATATATGTATATACATTTTTTTTGCACTGTTTATGGCAAAATAGTAAACTTTTTTTTTTGCTTTATTATAGAGACTTTCAGCCTGTAGCTGGTTCGTCTCTTAAAATAGTAAACTTTTCATGAGCATTAACGGGAAATAACTCACCAACAGTAGCGGACTGTTGGTACTTGGCAACAGTGTCTATTTTTATCATTTACCATCATACGCAAGGAGTAGCGCTTCAACCCTTCAAAAATGGTGTTCGTGTGGTGCAAAATATGTAACAGACTTTTATCTTTCAATAATTTACATAACCTTAATTCCAAATATTTGTCATTCATCTTCAAGATGGATATCTACGTTATGCTTTGGTGCAATAAGACCACTGAAAGAGCGAATGGGTTTCGTAGAACCTTAGAAAATATTTTCAAGAAGGGGGCTGGCAAAATCGGGTCATTACTGTTATACCAACAAATCAAGCTGAACATTGCATTAGGTCCTAAGTAACATTGAAAGATTCTCTTCGTTGACTTTTTCTTTGCATCCCCACGGCCATGTAAAGACATTCCCAGGTATAATTAGCACACATATCGATAGAAGAAGCTTTTATCTAGCATCTAATACAACAAAAACACGTCAAGACACGATTCTGTGATCAAGTTATTAACGAAAAAGAAAGTCGACGAAGATAATCGATCAATGTTACTTAGGACCTAATGCAATGTTCAGCTTGAAATA